CAGGTGCAACAGAAAGAGCTTTTCTCTCTGCAAGAGGAATTCGTAGCTGATTTCCTGCAAGCAGATTTCCATGCCCTTGCAACTGTTCAGCTACACAGACAGGGAAAACAACAGGTGAAATTTTTCCTGAATAAGAAGCGCTCGACAAGCACAAACAGAGAATTTAGTTCCTACCTGTGAGGGGAACTCAATCTACACACATTGGTTGGCCCTGCTACCCCAGTTTGCTTATGCTGTTGACATCAATTCTAAGTACACACACACACACACACACACACACACAAACAAGGAGGGGCTAAATGTGATATTTGCTATAGGAAAAGTTGCAGGAGCCATGCTTTTTTGGAACAGAAATAAACAAAAAATGGTTTCTGCATTGATCAGCATTTTTTAATGAAAAAAAAAGAGAGCCAAATTCAGTCTTTTGCGCATCTTCAATGCAAATGAATTTGGCCCATTTATTGTAAGGATGAAAAGGAAAGTTGCAAGTTCTTTACCAGCAAAGTTAAGATAAACAACAGCAGCAAAAGACGGTGTCATCATGCTCAGACTACACGTAGAAATCCTATTTGATACAAATAATGACAAAAAGTTCACTAACGGAACCCAAAACAACGGTGACAGTGTGCCTTTGGGGTGCATTACTTATGCAACACATTCCTGCATGCCATGCTTCACACGGATGTTACTTACAGCCCCTTTTAAGAAGTTAAGGCCAGACAATTCATTACTCAAAATAAAGCACCAGGCTTGCATCCTGCAAAGTGGAATCAGGACTTCAAAATCATCAAAAGGACAGCTGGGTTATAACCTAAAAACTCAGAAAACTTATCATTGAGCATCCTGTTTAAACACAAATGCAAAAGTGGGGGGGAGGCGAAGGGAAGGTTTCTCTGAAGGCAAGGTTTCCTATGCACTCCCCACCAACGATGCAGAAAAATGCAAACTGAAAAGGGCTTCCTATTTTAATGCATATGGCTGCCTTGGCAATCTCCAGGCCTGTTCTTCTGAGCCCCATTTCCCCCACAGTGTTATTTCTGGCTCCAAATACTGCCCCAGCATGCCCAAAATGCACAAGGGAGGGAAGAGGAAAGAAGGGGAGGAGAGGATATCTGCCTGTGGAATTGTATTACATGGAGATCAAAGAGGAGAAATCAATGTATTCCCAAGGTTTTGCTCTTCAAAACTAACATGCACACCAGCTCTTTCTCCTTCTCCTTGGCCAGTTTTGGGCACAGGCAGTCATAGCAGTGTGCCACAGGACCAGCAGTCAGCTAATAGTTTCACAAGTCCCTTATATTTCTTCCTCATATGTACACACAAACAAGTTAAAGCTGCCTTTGGCACACTGCTTTTCAAGATTTCATTGCTGACTCCTTTGATAAAACTCTGGTTCTTCCTAAGAAAAGACCCCTCCAGGTGGAATGATGAAATTCACTGTGAAGCCAATGAGTTAGGTCAGTCCTCTAGTTCAAGAACCTACAAGGCCCTTCAGTCTCGGGTCACTGCTGGAGCTCCCGTTGCACAAGGCACTTCCTAAAGGAAAGCCATACTGGTCTGTGGACTAAAAGCTGAGATAAGCTGGAAGTAAGAAGAGCCAGAGCCAAAACTCACCACACCTTGTCTTCTGGGGAATGGGCCAGGGCTGGCTTCACTCAGAGTAACTCTGTGATTGCTTGTAACCTGAGTGAGCCCCCCCTAACAGCTACATCTACACTGCAGTCAAGCAGCAGGAGCAAACATGCTGGCACACAGCACCAAGACTGCTCAACACAAGCGGGTATTTTGGACCAGCTCAAGCACTGAAGGTGCTGCTCCTCCACCCCCATTGCTTCTGTGCTCCAACCACACCTGCCACTCACGTTGCTGACACATTTCAGAGATGCAGCAGATTAACCAAACTTTCCCACAGATGGCTGGGCATTCCCTGAGCTCCAGACCAGCCTCCTTGGCATCCTGCTCAATCAAAATTTGCAAACAGCTAACATGGCAGAGGACCAAAAACAGCAATCTGCACAGAGCTCATCCTTCTACCAGCGCAAATTCTGCTGCTCAGGCTAACTGGAACCTGCTCTGGCCTTAATTAGTCAAATTTTCCACCAAAAGTCTGCTAAAAAAAAAGTAATGTTCTGATTGGCTACTGTATTTTTTTGCAATAATTTTTCATTACTCTTCGAATTGCATAACTGATCAGCTGCTAATGAAGCTAAGGCAGTGACTGACCTGTTGAAAGACATGTCAGGTACCAAAAAATGGCTGAGCCAGTTCAGAAAAGTTCCTCCTTCATAAAATTATTTGTAAAACCTTTTGCAAGGCTAAACAACGACTCTAACTTACCAGAAATGTCACACACATGCTGACAACTTCGTGTATCACAGCTACCCTCATCTAACAACCTTCTTTTCTTTTAGGCTGTGTGGTATATTTGGATACACCTCACCTGGGCACTCAGTAGTTGCTTCTACAGTTCTAAAGACAGGTTCTGTAAAGACTCTCTAAAGAAGGAAGGGAAGGAGAGGGCACAAAGCTGGATCCTCGTTTGGTCTGGGACAGGCGAGTGAAGGGTCTTCTACATCACTTGCTGTCTCCATCTCCCTTGCTGCAGCTGCCTGCAATCTCTATGCGTGGTAAATGTGTAAAGGATCTATGTTTGAAAACCTGCCAGCTCAGGGGTCTTCTACATCACTTGCTGTCTCCATTTCCCCTGCTGCAGCTGCCTGCGATCTCTATGCGTGGTAAAGGATCTGTATATGTGTAAAGGATCTATGTGTGAAAACCTGCCGGCTCAGTTTTAAGCAAGCTACCAAAGGACCAGTGTTCAGCACCAGAATTTTGTGAAGACAATTATCAGGTCTACTTAGGTCAAGTAGGAAAAAAAAAGACAGGAAAAAAAAATGCATCTCAAGCTTTCCATCTGTAAAATACAATAGAGAACTCCCAACTCTTAAACGGAGCTTCTCATTTCCCACGTGCCCACAACTGCACCAAATTAAATCAAGAACTCTACATCCCTGCAAACTGCTTTTAAAGCTTAGGACCATTCTGCTCCTTTCAGCTGTAATGGCTCATGATGGCTCTGCAGGTCACAATTTGGGAAACACGCATCCCTGCTCCAGAGAGCTTGGTATATTTAAGTTCCCAGGCATGAGGGCATGGCAAATTAAAAAGATGCTGACTTGCTGTTATTCTAAGAAATTAAGCCAAAACCTTACAGAAGTCACTTTTTTCTTGCCAAAGATGGAAAAGAACACCAGCTTAACGTTCGATCTGCAACACCTCTTTGCCCCAGCTGAAAAGTCGTGCAGAGGCGTCCCAAAGGGCTGCTCATGCTTGCTCCTTTTCTCTGTAAAAGGCTTGGGGAAAAAGAGAGGGGCTTTTAGAAACCTTTCTGATCACTGTGTGCAACAGGAGAAGACGATGACTGTAAGGGCTTCTGACCACGAGCTGGGAAAGTAATCCTTCCCTTCCCCTCCCATCAACAGACTGCCAAGGGGAACTGCACGTAACCGCACTCATCCTGGATATCATCCCAAGGGCTGGGTAACCACAAAATTAACGAGAGAAAATACATGAGAAAAAACACAAGCATTCCTGTCTGTGATTATGACCAATGAGGGCGCCTTCATGGGGATTTACTTAGGATTTCACAGGTGAGAGCAGCCAAAGATTCCTACATGGGTCTACAATATAAAACTACACAAGTCCACCATATGGTCTTCTCAGAGATGGGTCTGAATTTTCACAGTGGGCACTGAACCAAGCCCCAGGAGGCTGAATTAAGGACTGAGTTTGGATCTTGAGGCTCACCTGACTCAGATCTGCAGCAAGGAGCTCCCCTGTGTATTCTTCCCCAACCAACACACAGGACTCCCACTGACATCCATCCAGAGAAGCACTCCCAGACCATCAAACCCCCTTCCTAGTCACAAAGGTCACTATCTTCTTGACAGGTGATAAATATTTAAAAAGAAACCTAATGTGTTTCCTAGAGATGCCCTCTGCTGACTTTTGGCCAGAATTTGTGCGTCAAATTAGACCCTAAAACCTCTTAAAAGTAAATGAATTAATAAAACACTTTACCCTACTATAAAATGTGAGTTATTACCAGTTGTGTAAACCAGTATATAACAGGTGAAGTTAGGAGAGATGCACCAAAACAGGTCAGCAGAGACCCAAAGCAATGTGGGAACAGTGCAGATGCCAGACCATATAAGTCAATAAAAGTTTCTAATTGCCTATAAAAGTTAACAGGCAAAACCCACTGTTTTAAATATTTTTCTTTCCAAACTTGACCCGTCACAACATATGCCAGTAGCCTAGAGAACAAGTATCCTCTTGAAACCTTCTGCTTTCCTCCTATATTACCTCTTCTACATTCAGTATTTCCACATACATTGTCACCTTCACTCCTCAGTTTCCAAAAAGGCTGGATATAAAACCAGGATCCTTCATTCCCTGCAGCATCCAGAGACACCCGCATGGCATTCTTCTCTAGCAGTGCTGGCAATCTCTTGTTGACTGTGAGATATTTGTTACTTTTTATATGCAGCAACTGTGAACAAACAGAACAAAGATGTTAGGATTGCTTTTGCTTTTACTACCTTCAATCAAAGAGGAAGCAAGGTCTTTCACTCTATATCGATTTTTTTTATAACATACACAAGCAAAGACTAAATAAAAGACACATCTATGTATAAGACAGTTTAGGAAAACATATGGCATACGTCAGATCCAGAGGAAAATATGACTGATCAATTTTACAACACACACTAAATGGTTGGGACAAGGGTCAATAACAGTGTTATCTTCAGGAACTTCATATGCACTGCAGGAAAGTTGCACTGTGCTTGAGAATGTAACTTCTCTCACACTTACATGTCATGAAGCACAAATGACTGCAGTGATTTAGAAAGAACTGCACAGCCCTTCTAGAATAATGATTTTGAAATAAATTTTGAAAGCAAAAGGTGCATGTTTACATTCAGATTTTAGGCTGCAGCAACAAATACTACATATAAAATTTATATTATGACATATTATTTAAACATGAATATGCAGTACTTCTGGTAGTCTTTAAAAGAGACAGAAAACACAATACTGTAAACTTCACCAAGTCCTGTTTATCTGACCCCTGACAATCCAGATTACAGTGGCTGGTTTCATTTTCACCATAACCTCGACAAGGAACAACTGTTTCCTTTTCAGCTCTGCAAGAGGGCAGATGTATTTCAAAGGGTTTACCTGTATGACATTGCTATATTTTACGATTTCTCCCAACAGCTTTCTGTTCTCACTTTCATTCTGCTTTTGTTCCAATTCTGCTGCATGCTGCAAAAGAATGAACATTTCCTTAAATATGACAAAATCAATAGTTGGTGGGAACAGACAGAGTATGAAGGAGACGGCACCACATTAAAAATGCCCTCATCAGCCTGCAAGCATTATTGCACTGAAAATATAAACCATTTAGCACCCACCTCTTGTGCAATGTGATTTTCTGTACGATAATCACCTGCATCCTGTGTAAGCACTCAGGCTTTTTATTACCCAGAACAGAAACTCCATGACAATTTATAGATCTCATATGAGATGCATGCCGTCACACCCAGCAGGTGAAACAATTCTAGGTGCTTTACTTCACTCCAGAGAGGGAAAAGAAGGATCTACTCTTTCTGTGCTCTTTTCATTCGTTGCTTTGTTAATTACATTAAAAGGCACGGATTTTAACATATGACAAAGCAAATTCAGCTAATCACATGTTGCAAGACCAAGGCAGGGTCTTGCAAATACAGCCAAAAAGCTAATTCTCAGCTCCTAGCTGTAACTGTTCCATTGCCAGCTGTAGTCACACACCATGGGGCTCATGACAACCTCTCTATCGCGTGTGAAAACATATTTCAGAGGACCATGTTTCCCTTGGTGCTAAGCATCCAGTTATAACTTCTGGCCAGCTGGTTTTCAGTGACAGAAGAATTGCTCACTCCACATGCCTTATACTTGATGCAAAACAGAACCTGCCCAAACAGTTCAGGGAAGAATGTCCCAGGCTAAAGGCAAAGAAAACTGCCATCCTGAAGAACTTCCAGATTAAAGGGCAGCTCTTTGTCTGCGCCTCTGCCCAGCTCCTTGAAAGGAATTCTAAAACAATTGCATGATTTAAATCAGGGCCACTCCTGCTCTTATTAACTCATTTTTACTCTATAAGCAAATATTAACTGCTTTCAGAAGTTTTATAGCTGAAAGGTACAAGCCCTAGCCCAAAGGGCTTGCAACCTAAAGCCAGGTAAAAAGCAGAATAGGGGCAATAAATGCCACGCAAGAGGCAGGAGAGCTAAGAGAGAAGAATACAAGGTTGCTGTGGTGGCATAATACCCCTCACAGTGGTTCCCAAGGCACTTGTTCCTGTTCTTTTTCATTCTATTGTTATTATTCGACAGCCTGCAGATGGAGATAAGATTCCAAATACAGATGGCTCTTACTTGGAGTTTCTTCAGCAGTGCTGCTTCTGTATGGTTTCCCTGTTTGGCTTGCTTGGCTTTCCAGTATTGCTTCTGGGCTGAATATCGGTTCATAGGACACACCTTGAAAAGGCAGTCTGGAGAAAAACGAAAGAAATACCCATGAGTAAGGCTGAAAGACACTTCCTTTATTTGCAAGTACTTTTTGGTTGGCTTTCTTTTTCCAGAAATGCCTAGACACCAGAGTGTTTGGGTACAGGCAGAAAACAGCTTGGTGTAACGATACCAGAACAGGGCAGCAGCACACCCGATTCGATCATAAATCCTTCAATTCCTCGCACACTCCCCATGAGCAACCTCTCCGCAATCCTTACAAGAAACAGAGGCCTTGGGCTTGCAAGAGGCCAAACCGCACGCACCCTCTTTGGTAGCGCCCTTCGCTGCAGCGCTCCTGCACGGCTACACTGGTTGAAGCCATGTGACTTTAGACACCTTGGAAACAAAGCACCCTGCTTTCTCCACTTCATACCTCTGGCTACGCTGCTCCTGCTGGCAGGGCTCAAACAAAGGATTACGTGGACATCCAGCTGCAAGCTATCAGCAACGTTAACACACAGTTCTGTTCTGCATGTGCCTTCCTTGAGATTGATTTAAAAAACTAACACCACAAACAGCAGCGTTACAAAAACTGAGCTCCACCTTTGCTTTCCCAGCATCTGACTGCCACTGAGGACTGTGCATGGCTCCTGGTACCTCACAGGAGCAGGGCTGGTTCCGAGGGTTCGAGCTGCTCTTCACAGAGCAGACTTGTCACTTGGTGGCACTAAGGGCAATTCTCACTGGCGGAGGCCACTGCAGGCTCCTGCAAACCTGAGCGGAGTGACCCACTCACCAGCTCAACACATCTGCTGCCACTGCTGCCCCATGGGATTTTCTTTTCAAAATAAAGCTAAGCAGAGTATCTGGAGTGCACACATTCACCAACACAGCAGTAGGAGCTTGTACTCACCCTTGGTGAGCTCCCACTGAGACTTACTTCCTTTGATAGCACTCATCTTCACGCCATATTTGGTAAACAAAAAAAGGCATATAAATAGAAAAAAAAAAAGAGAGAAAGAGACGGACGGACGGAGGACACAGGAAGCCTGTCATGGCACAGAAACCTCACTGCTGGTCTACACGCTTCCCCCACCAGCAGCTCAGCTACCAGCCCACCCAAGACGCCTCCAAGCACAGTGCGCACTTTAGCAGTAGTAATTTAGCACTTTTAGCAGTACTAATTCAGGCTGTGTTAGAGAGTGAGAACCTAAAGGTTCAGACGCAGTGCAAAAAGGAAAAGGGTAGGAGAGAAAGAATATCATTAGGCCCACCTTATACGTTGTAAACACAAGCTCAGAAACATAAATAATTCATCCAAGCCTATTTTCTTTAGATCCAAGTCTAACTTTAGGAGTTAGTTTTAGTCTAACTTTAGAATGATAAAAGATAGTCATGCACTCTTGATCATCAACTGTTCTAAAAGCTAGATTTGAAAGACATTTCAGCTAGCAAATACTGGAAATTGTCCTTTCATGCTCTAACTGTACCAGCCAGCAAGAGGAAAAGAGACAAAGTATTAACTGTCTCTCAGGTTTTTGCTGTGAGATTAATCAAACATACAGGACTGCATGTGTATCACAGCGTGAGACTTCTCTGCCATGGGTTGGGATTTATAGATGTCTGCCTCCGTTGCCAAGGGGGAACACCTATAAACATGGATAACTTTAAAAATGCGCTGAGAAGGAAGAAGAAAGATGATGTTGAACATGACTTTGAGCAACAGGATTTCAGCCCAAAAGACTTCTGTCAGCTATTATTTTCTGTAAGCATCTGCAATTACTAAATATGCATTTCCACTCCATCACTGTGGAGTGGAGAACACTCCAGCAAACACTTGTTTCTCTGAAGTAACAAAGCTTCTTTTTACAGGACCAACTTTCATTTCTGCAGCTCCACACACGTGCTGCGACTCAAGGCAATGCCCTGCTGCCCTCGGCACACGGAGTCTCCCGGCACCACGCTGCCACGGAGCACAGAAATGCAAGGCACGCATGGCTCTGCAAACGCAACTGTTTACCTACAGCTCCCAGTCACAAATTCATTTTTCCTATTGAGGCTTCTCAAAGGGAAGAAAATGTGGAATAGGAGGTGCTGGAGATCCTTGGCCACACAGCTGGCTCTGTAGCCAGCTGCACGACAAACAGCTCTCCCACGTCACGGTCTAGCTCCTTAAAAGTTGAAATAACAAGGACTTCTTATTGTTATTACTGTTAATAAATATTGTTTACATTGTATTTTTCCCTTCTGCCAACTTATGGAAGAAAAAACTCACGTTTTTCAAGAGAAATTTTTCCCTACTTGTTTTTTTAATCCTAAACCCATTTGATTTTTTTTCCCCCTCTTGGCATTTCTATTTACTTTTATTGTAGTAAGATACTGTGCTTAGTCACACTAAGCATCAGAGAAAAAAATGTACTCCCTACCCTACAGAACCTATAGCTCAAATAAACTAGAAAACAAGGGAAACTGAGGCACAAGGTTAGAAAGGACCCTGCCAGTACCTGTGGCAGAACGAAAGTTCTGGCCGCCAGGATACCACAAGACAGACTGTCTCTTCTGGCCTCTCTAGACAACCTCTGAGCGCCCTGATTCCTAACTCATTTCTTTGGGAATTTCAGAATAATTGCTTCCCTTCCCTAAAACACTAATTAAGTAGGTAATAGCAAAAGTAAACGGCTCTAAAGCTACCAGCTGGTTTCAGGCACTCAATTTCCATGCGCTTGACTTCTACAGTCGCTTTACCAATCCTCACATCCTCCCACAGTCTTCGTGACAAAATTTCAATTTCCGATGCACTAAGTGAAGTTGGAGCAAATGAGAAACACCTCCCTCCCTCACCACCGCTTTTAAACCTCCACATTTTCTTTACAGCTGTCAGAAAAAGGGAATAGCCTTTTTCCCTTCCTGCAGGTCACACTACAGATACAATCTCCTATTCTATGTGTTGCTTACTAGAAAGTAAGAAAATGTGAAAAGTTAGCCTTGTTGAGAGACATGGCAACGACTTATTTTATGGAGGGAAAAAGAAAAGGTATATTTATTAATTGGAACAATAAAAGATGGAAAAGAGCAACCCTAAACTGCAGGAAACAACGCGCAGAGGAAGCATTTGGCACCGAAGCAACAGTTGTGCCCAAGCCTGTGGATGTGCAGGAAAGGCCAGTGCGCACCAGGCTGGGCAGAAAGGCAGGAGTAGGTGCAGCATGTCCCCTGCCTGAAAAACAAGCCTGAAAACGAAAACATTTCCTTGCACCTTTCAGATGGTTGCCTTTCAATGCCTGGCATGTATAAAGATGGCTTACAACAACCTTCGTTAGAAGCTGTCATCTGCACTTCTTTTTTTTTTCTTTTTAAGTGTTATAAATTAAAGTTTTATCCACTTTTTAAAATTTTGTTTTTGGAGAATTAGTGATATTATCATATGGCTTTAGTTGAACTGACAGAGGCACTGAAGAATCCCAAGGAGGACGATGGAAACAGCCATTAGGAACCTGAAAAGAAACAGGAGGCAACTGTGGAGCTGGGAGGAACAATGTGAACACAGAGGAACTAATCAAAATGATGGAGGAAAAGGCAAAGAAAGAGGAAAATGGCAGAAGGTCAGAGGAAAGGGCCAGATGGAGGAGTTAAGGAAAGACAGCAGGGAGTCATAGCAGAAAGGAGGGAGGGAAGAGGAAGGAAAACAATGTGAGAACGAATTTGGACCATAATACACAAATTGAGAGAAAAGCAAGAGGAATTTCTACAAATTCGAGCACTGCATTCATTGCAGGTATCTTGTGCTAAGGGGCTATGAACCGTAGAGAAATTTAAATCAATCTTGAGACAGCAGAGACTTGCTGTTACTTCCTTCCTCAGAGTTGCCAAATCTAACTAACCTATAAGCAGGTCTTACCTGTGCTTCCTTACACCTTGGAAGCTAAAGCATTTCCCCCTGGAGGCAACGCATTAAACTAAAGAGTGTTAAGGTCACAGTTTAAGGAAATGTGCAGCTCTGCTGCTGATGATGATGATGTGACTTCTCTTTTTCAGTTAAAATCAAACACCTGGCTTGATCAGTCCCTTAACTTAAACCACAAGAAAGAAAATGCTCTCTCTACTCAACAGTCTTCAGGAAACACGTGTGGGACCAAATTCTGCGCTCCTTCCCAGTGATGCAAATCACCAGTAGGCCCACTGCCGAGCCAAGAGCCACTCCAGGTCCACACCAGTGGGACTGAGGGGCGAATGAGGCCTATATTTTTTATATATTTGGACATAAAATGAAAGGTAACCACATCTTTCCTTAGCTTAACAACACCCAGTTCTATAGGGCGTTCTGAAAGGGCTAGAATAGCTACCGCCCCCGCAATAAAAAAGAAAGTAAACACATAACAAAAATGAAACTGCTATTTTAAGCCCTCTCTTTACAAAGGCTTTCAAGTTCAGACCAGCAGCTCAGGACCTAAATTTGATCTCTGCATGAACTCTGTAGGGGAGATACAAGCAGTCAGCAAACACAGTCCTTTCTGGGTGGGCTCAGCAGCAAGGGGTTGATAAAATGCTACAGAGGACGAGCAAGCACAGGCCTCTGATGTTAATTTTCAGAGTCAACCCCCTAAGCATCTCATTAGAAACATGCCTTTCTCATACTACTTTGACTCTCAGGTCATGCTCCAACCTCAGATCACACCAGTGTCAGGCACCAGTGATAAAAACATCGTAAACCACACAGAGAGCAGATCCCATTACTACGGAGGCCCTACTCTTCCTGCTGTTAGACGCTATTTCTAGTTGCTTAGGTCTAATCATTCAACTAATCATTCCCATCTAAGTCTTCTTGCTATGTCAAGAACCTACTTAAAGCAGTTTTTGTTTGTTTTGTTAACTTTGCCATTTTAATCAAATGCTATTTTCCCAGGAGATTCTTGGGGAAAATAGTTCTCGCTTATATTTCTTGCTTGTAAGACAACTTGCAGCAACTGTTTTGCCTCAGTGCTTTTCAGTAGAGATAAGCCACTTGAGAAAGAGCGGCAGAGCTGTGCTTCTGGGTGCTCTCATTTACAAAGACACCTAATTGCCACCATTTTCTACGTTCGAAATTTCTACATTGGAAAACTCTTGGCTCCACAGGTATTTGTTTGGGCCTGACTATAAGAGACTCTGACAGGTCTATCTGCGCTCACCACACGTCTCCATCTCAAACCTGATCTAGGCTGCTGGAGATGTGTCGGCCTCACCATTTGCTGCGTGTAGTCTGTCTCAAGACGGAGGAGAGCAAAGCTCTCTCCGAGCTGCAGCTCTCTGGTTCCAGGCACTAAACTCCAAATAGACAGCAAGTCACTCCTGTGTTCTCAGCATAACCCCTGTTATTCCTATGCTTAGAATTAGAGTTGTAAGATGAAGGAGGAACAAAACAAAACTACAGCTTTTATCTTTGCTGCAGCCATTCTTACAGCTGCCCTTTGTGTACACTTACCTGAAGTGACATGAAAATACTACTAGATACTACATGGGGCTCCTAATAATATAGGCATGATGTTACAGAATAGTGGGTTGCATCAATTAAGGCAACAAAACAAACTTCATCTTTTGTAGTAATTTATCTTCCCCTGCAGCTGTTGCAGTTCATCCAGACTTGTATGTTATGACAGTGCTAGCAATAGTAGAGCAAACTGCTTCAAAATTAAGTCAAGTATGTGTGTCCCAAAACAGAAGGATATAAGGCAAGAGAGGGCTGCTGGAGCCAAAAAGGAGGTAAGAGGCAGAAATGAAAGAGAGGAGAAAAGTAACAGCTAACAAGATTTGGGGCATCAGAGGAAGGGAGAAGGTGCAAAGAAGCGGAGAAATTAGAAGGAAGGAAAGAACAGAGAGGAAAGGCAGCGGTGGGAGCTAAAGATAGAAGGATGTGTTATGAAAGCAGCGGGAAGAGCTGCAATAGAAACAGTGCCAAGACTCTCTACAACTCATAGAAAACATTCCCCTGCCGAACCTGGAATTCAGGAGTAGTAAATCGGGAGTAGAGTCTTTGCATTGCTCTTCCAGCAGAAAGCAGCTGCACATTTCTTTTCTGTCACTCACCTCTGCCAGCGCCAAATCTACATACACGGTACTACTGCCGCCCTACTGAGCAACCTAGTGCTGGTTGCTCAGTGACCTTACGCTCCGGATCAAAATGCCCAAACCTCTCTGATGCTGCTAAAAGCCCGTTTTCTGGAAACCACCAGAGCAAAACACCCTGAGACTCTTTGGTCTTTCAAATTATAAAAGAACATCAGAGAACTACAATGAGAGAACCCTGCTGAGGCTATAAACTCCAACACCCAAAAGTCAGACAATGAAAAAAATTAAGCTTGTTTTTTAACCTTCATTCAGCTTCCATATTGTAGGCACTTTGAGATATTCTGCAATTAAACTATTATATAAACTATTATATAAAAATCTTTTCTGTCTCCTCTAGAAATCAGGATATGTTCTATGTTGTGAACAAATCAGGGTGAAAGAAACTCCTGCCCAAAGAACCCCCACCTCAGTTTTAGTGCAACTTGGAAGCTGTCATTTAAACATATATTTGCAGACAGGGAGAGGACGAAATCACTCCCAGGGAGAGGACGAAAAGCCTGAAAGATGCATCCCAACTTTCACAGCTTGTTTCCTATTTACACTAAAAGCTGGATTTAGACAAGCCGTTGGTCACAGAGTGGGGAGTATTAGAGATTTGTAGTCTCATACTAGAAGAAAAGTAGTCCCATTCCTCCTGTCTTCCAGATATACCTAATGCCTTCTCTGGTTTGGCATTTACTTCTCAAGATTCGCCATTCACATTCCAGTTTGAAACTTTAGCAAAGTGTCCCCAGATGAGGAAGACATCCGGCAATGAAGGCAAATCTTTGCCCAGGAGGTTAGAACATGCATCAATCAGTCATTAAAAAATCACCTGCAGTTACTGACCTCTGAACTTCTTTGGAGGGTTAGCAAGGTCACCTGCATCCGGCTGAACCACACATCTGTCATCCACTAACCTGGAAGAACAAAAGTTATTAGATTTACTAAGACATCTATTTAATATCAACACAGATAATTGCAGAGACATGCCTATCATGCCGTGGGTACACGGTTTCCAGTTCAAGTCAAAAATATCTTAGAAACTTAACATTCAGTTCTTCAGCATAACTAAGAATAATCTACATTCCCCTTTGAGAAAGAGGATTTCTTGTGTTGCTCTAAATTAAGGCCAGTATTTCAGAACTCACTTCATTTAAATCCAGTTAAAATCTCTTCTGTTGCAACATGCACCTTGATTTTCTGTAAAATTCTTGTTTGCTTTTGCAACAGCACATTAACCCTGAATCAGAAAAAGATCCCAGAACAAGACCTTCAAGAGAAAGGCTGGGTAGCCAGCTTTATATCAGATAGGAGAAAGGAAAACTTCTGCTAGGCTCCATCTGAAGTTATCTTGGCCCAAAACCTGCAAGCTGTCCCATGCTTGCAGATTCCCACATCCACACAGAGGCCTTTTAAAGGGAACCACTCAAGAGTATTCCCATGTGGATCTATTTGTACAATCTGGACATGCAGGGTTTTTTCCCCCTAATTATTTGCTGTTTCACAACTCTGTTTCATCTAGAATTAGAGGCTGGAATCTGATATAGTACCTTAGATTTTAGTCTTTAAAAATTTGTTATTCTCCTCCTCCAAATACAGTCATGTCACATTAAAATCCATCTCTCTGATCAAAAGTGACATTTTCTTTAGCTAGGATGAGTAAGTATTTACTTAATCCACACCAGAAAATATAAATAACAAATAGGCTTCTCACAATATTTTAAAAGTTAAATAAACAATAAAATTCAAAAAGATCGTAAGTCACACTTAGCAGAAAAATATCGTTGATCTTATCACAGAACTTCCTAACCATAAATTCAGTCTCCCTTCAGGAAGTATCCTGTAAATAATCTGCCTGTTGCAAACAATTATTCAGGAAAATCATACTGAAGGACACACCACTGCCGTACACTCACCAACAGCAGTCTTGGAAGGATTTTCTGTGGGCAATTGCCAGAAAAAAGCACAAATTTGGTCCATACAAATCAAGCAAATCAAGCATTCAGTTTTCAATCAAATTAATGCAGACTTTGAGTCAATCTGTCACAGCACACATGAATTTTGCACCTCGGAGAAGCTAATGGGTGCCAAGGGCAAGAACAAGCACCTCAGTGTGCTCCTAAATCCAAGAAGCACATTAAAAAACAGAGCTGGAAAAGACAAAGTTCTTTCCTCTTGCCCTCAGCGAGGCTTACACTGCACCTCTGTCACTCTTGACAGACATCTCTATGCTCTGCTTTCACTCGTAGCGAGTGCATTAACCTAGGAGCTGAGGGGGAAGGGGTGGGCAGGCAGGAAGACGCCCTGGGCCTATTCCATGGTTGTGCCCTGGGTCCTTACTCTCTGCCCTCGCATAGCTCACAAGGCAGGAACGGTCCTTACAACAAACTGTCAGCACGTGGGCATTTCCTGACAAGTAGCGCCTGAATTCATTATATTGTACAACCAAAGGTGCCAGCTATTTAAATACTGATCTAAATTATTATGCAAATGTTCAAGCCACTGTGGCATCCAAGCAGCTCTGGCAAATGGAAAGAGTTTAATAGTTTAATTCTCCAGCTGGATTGCAACCGGACAATACTGCACTGTGCCCTCCACTGTAGAAGAAAGCCGAGGCGGCTTTTACCCCTCCGTTAGCACTAGCTGGCACAGACCACGGTGCCCTGCATGGTGCTCCAAGGGCCACCACCGAACACAGTCCTACCTCTACCTCCCTTCTCCCTCCATTTTCTTCCCACCATCTTGATGGGGCCACTGCTCGCCGCATTCAAAGTCAGACTTGTCTAGAAGTGCTCACGTGGGCAGTACTCTGCCATTGCTCCTGCTTTACCTAGGAGGCATCAAACCCGAGGAGCACAAGGGCTCACACTCCGCATCATCTCGGCCTCCTGCTCCGGTCTCTGCCCGTGCCCTACTCCAAAACTTCTGCCCAGGAGCCCAAGAGCCAGCAGCAAGTGGGCAACAAGCACCTTGCTTACGGTGAAAGTTTCTTTGCAATCCTCTTTGGAGAGCTACCAGTTCATGTCCTAAGGGTGCTGCCATCCATATCTGTGATTAAATTCTAATCAATAGATCTCTGAATGCTCTTATTACTTCATTACCTTACCTCTTATTACCTCAACCCCTTACAGCCATTCCGAATCCTATGAAGTACTCGCTTTCGTAGCATCTTGTGGCAACAAATTCCACATACAAGCTGGCAAGCAGTTTGAAAGAGGATAGATCAACTTCTAATACTATTCATTACTTGTATTAAGATTGTGCGTAACACAAACAACTTCAGACTTCTCTTACAGCTCCTAATAGCTCTCCATTCTCTCGGGATGGGACAGAAGTGGGGAAGGAAATACCTTGTAGTAATTCTTACTAAATCTTTCTACTGGGTGCAGCGGCCGCCCTTACAGGGCCTTTTCCTGAAAGAAGATCAGAATGTGCATGAGAAGATCCCACGGGGACACCATGGGTTTTTGAGGAGAACAAAGAAGTATTTGAGGAACAGGACGTAGGGGTAGAAGTGTAAGCGATAGGGCAGGTACAAAGGCTAATGATGGGTAGATGGGTTTCTTGGTAATAATCATATATGCTGGAGAAATCTGCATGTCCTACAAGCTATCCTGATTACCCATGACAGTCTAAAGACAAACAATCACAGCAAAGGCTTTGAGTAACTTGCAGACACAGTGAAAGGGTCAAGGAATAGTTGTATGACAATAGTCCCAGAAAAAGGTATTTGCACTGATGAGTTATTTTCAAACTACTGCTGTGATGCACAGTTTCAAAGCACCAACACAATGCAAAAGAAAAGGGTATGACAAAATTGGAATGATGATGATTTTCATTAATCGGAGTCGTTCATAATTTAACATGCTTTTAATAGCATGCAAGAAAGCAGCTACATAACATAGAAGTTATCATTCATTCATTCATTTATCACTTGCGGAAATGTGCCCTTAATTTAAAAACATATAATCCTGAAACGGATTAGATCCTGAAACGGATCTAATCAGTGTCTATAAGTACCTCAAGGGAGGGAGTGCAGAGGACGGTGATGGTCTCTTTTCAGTGGTGGCCACTGATAGGACTAGAGGAAATGGCCGGAAACTGAAACACCAAAAATTCCATAGGAATTTAAGGAAAAATTTCTTGACAGTGAGGGTGACAGAGCACTGGAACAGGCTGCCCAGAGCGGTTGTTGAGGCTCCTTCTCTGGAGATCTTCAAAACCCGCTTGGACGCAGTCCTGTGCCGCGTGCTCTAGGTGACCCTGCGTGTGCAGGGGGGGTGGACTAGATGATCTCTAGAGGTCCCTTCCAACCCTAAGCATTCTATGATGCTATGATTCTATGATAACAGGTTTTGGCTCTTTCTACCAACAGACACACCTTCATTTTTTATAGGCATCATTATTAAGCAAAAGAATACAGCAACTAATGCACGAGTAGAAATAAAATACTCTCACACACACACACTCACGTATATAACCATACATATAGGTGGATGTGCATGCATGTGTAATTTCTGTTAAAAAATGCAAGCCTCAGCTATTGCTGTTTTAGTATTATAATGCACTGGAATATGCACAAGGACCAAGCTTGGTACCCTTTCCACAAACGCCAAGTATTTTATGCCTCCAAGAGCTCTATAAACAACACTAGAGCGTCTCAGACAGACCAAAGGTGTTTCTTCTCTCAGTTGCTCAGTTTTCACTTTCTTAGCTCCTGCGGGTTCAGCATTTCACCTCTTCTCTCAGCAGCACAAGGCCTCTCAAGAGCCAAAGGAGGGGACAGACCTCAGCAAGCAGAGCAGGAGTTTTTAATTGCCAGCGGAGCCGAACATAATCTTTGCTCAGCATGAGCTCATAAATCAGGTCGCGGTTACGTCCCAAAGACATAACCTCGTCACTCTCTCACAAATGGAGAACCAGAGCTCAGGGACAAACACCTTTGCTCCACAGACAGCTTTCCACAAACAGATCCTGTGATCAAGAGCTCCCCTCTTGAAGAGCTTCCACTCAACACCCTTCTCCCCTCGGTAACTGCAGTGTTTGCGCTCATGCTGCCCAGCACGCGGTAGCTGCTCGGAAAAGGGGCGCCGGACGTAGTGCTAACAATGGGTTACTGAAACCTGCCTGCCCTGGAAGTCGGGCACTAAACACTTCAGTGCCAAAACAACCAAGTCCACCCAGTTCTTCTCCAGGCCCACCCACTTCTCATTTCATTTAGCTTTTCTTATCAGGCATCAAGGTCAGCCTATTTCTTGCTTGCTTCATATAGTTTCCTGCCAAAAATGTACAGTCATTATACCTCGCCCTTCCCAAAATGTGAGCTCATGCTCCTTTTGCTATCAAACCTGACTCAAAATGATCCCACAGCTCCATGCTTCATCTCCACTCTATGAGATTTGTCCTTTGTCCCATCTCCTTCCTTTCCAAAGTCTGATTTTCTTTTCTTGTGTTTTGGCATCCGCAATCCTACAGGGTCCCCAACATTCATCCCAGGTTGCATGGGAAATAAAAAGGACCTCAGCTGCACTTGGTGCCCCTGCACAACTTAGGAAGGTTCCATGTTCAAACTCCCTTTTAGTGAATGGGAGGGTGGCCGTAGGCAATATTTAAACAGAACTGCACTACACGCCAGGCAGACACAGAAGCCCAGAGGGAGGCCACACTCCTGCCTGCAACTCCTATACGTGCGTTTGGTCGCAGCCGCAGAGATCAGGCGCGCTCCTGTATAGGTCACTTTGAGTCGCGCTGTCGAACGTCAAGGAGACAGAAGGGCACAGAGCAAGATAATCGCGCACGTATGAACCAGCCACTCCTGTGTCGCACTAGCAGCTACACTGGTAACAGCCCTGGAGCTTCTGCCCAGTCCAGTAGTGCATCCAAGTGCTCCTGTAATTGGGTCTGCAGTCGTGCATAG